ATTTAATTATGTAAAACTTATATGAATTTGTTCATTCAACAGTGCCAGAGGGTAAAATAAGTGATTTTTTATGTTCAACTTCAATTGATTGATAGTATTTGTCTAGAGTTTTCATTTAAACTAAACTGAATTTGTATACTTCCACAGGAATTACATTACCATCAATAACATCAGATGTTAAAGAATACAATTACAAGAATACCTCGCATAGTGCTGTTTGAAATCGGATTAATCGAGTACTTTAAAACCGCATAAATTGCACTAAAACATAACGATTATTTATATGTTAGCTTAAAGTAAATTTGTATACTTTCATATAAAAAACTCCTACATTTATGCATTATTTATATTAATTGAAGCCAGATTTTATTTGTATATGTTCAAATACAATTTATGCAACATTTAATTAAATATTTGTAATTTTCATTAAATTAATAATTTATATAAAAATATGAAATTCTATAATTACATATCAAATTTGCATGTACAGTAATTAATACCTGGCATAGTGTTAATTCAGTATAAAAAAAATTCAAAACACACTAAATTTTAATTGAGCAAAATAAAATTCTACAAAAAAAGTATAAATTTGACATGAAATATCGTTAGACTACAACAAATTGAGAAACAACTTTTGTTTTTTTCAGAAACAAATGAATTAATGCCAACTTAGCGAACTACATAAATGATAGTTTTTTTTCCCTTTAAACAGTCAAGTCTCTTTTTGTGCTGTTTATTTTTTTTACGCTTTTAATGTCCTCGATTAGTACGGTTTCACTTATATAAAATATTACTTTTTTTTATAAATTTGTTCATTCAGATAAATCCATACCGATATTAAATGAATGAAAAATTTATTTTATCAAATTTTGATTCATTCATTTATTTAATTATCATAAAATCGAAACGTTTAACTATTAATTTTGGCTCGATGCAAAACAGTTTATAATCCCTTTCTGATGTTGTTTCGCCCTATATTTATTTCGTTTTTCAACCTAGTAATTAGTTTAACGTAATCGATAGTGCATGAAACGGGAGCTTTAGAAGCAATTATGTTATTAAGAGAGATAGAGCATCATTCGTAATCCCATTTGATACGTTTTATTGGACGCAAACAATGCCAAAAAAAAAACGAATATAGAACAAAACGAAAAAGTGTACGTTTATGGTTCGTGCGTGCATCCAGTATTTATTTAATCCCGCGCTCCTGCTCAGAACGTTTACCAATCTATTTACGTCCGACACACTTAATTGGTTTTCCGATGGACGCGTCGCGTAATGTGTGTAAATAATAAAAAAAAAAGAGACATTAAACGACTAAAAAAACTAAATCATTAAAAAAGGAGAAAGATCAAAGCCACTTTGATCGCATTGTTAAACATCGCTTAGAGCGATTAGCAGGACGCAGGGCGAAATTGCACGCAAGCGAGTATTTTGAATTGCGAAAATCCGCATAAATTGTTGATTGTCCGCCGTGTAATTTCCTCCATTCCGCTGATTATTTCGACCCGTGACGTTTATGCACAGCAGGACCATCGAATTTATGGTCCTGCAGGACTCGCAATCATTTTGAATGAATGCGGGTGTTTAAAAAAACTAATTGGTGGATGCGCCGGGCGATTACAATTTTTACTCATTGCTTATTAAAATATAATATTTTAATCATAAAGAGGTAAATTTTAGTGATGTTCATTAAATAATTTATTTGTTATAAAAACTTCAATAGAATTAAATATTCCATAACAATAATTTGAACAAAAGTTTTAATATTTATAAACAAAACGTTAATTCACGTAATTTCGTTAATATTCGATATTTCAATACGGTGGCAATCGAAAGCCCGACAACCGAAAGCCCGACAACCGAAATCCCGAGAACCATAATCCCGACTATATCGAAATCCCGACAATCATAATCCCGACTGTATCAAAATCCCGACAATCATAATCCCGACTGTACCAGAATCCCGAGAACTATAATCCCGACAACCTAATGCCGACTGTTAGTTAATTGCAGCAAATCGTTTAAAAGAAATATTTTTGATCTTATTTATATATATTTTTTTCCCCAATTACTTTGTGAATAATATAATGCACCTGTATGAACACCTGCGATAAAAACAAGAAACACCTGTGTTTTAATTGAACACCTGCGAAACACGTGCGTTTAAAATGAACACCTGCGTTTTTTTTTTTAAATTATCGAACTGCGTATAATATTGACATTTTTTTTCGCATTCGTTTTACTTTTTATTTCATTAAAAATTAAATTTCATTGCTGTTAAATTATAATTGGTTTTGTGTACGTTTTAGTTAAACAAAGTTACAATTTACAGCAATTAAATTTTTACAACATTGCCAATAATTGCCTAAGATATTTTAAATAAATAAAAAAAACAATTAAAAAGCGTCGAGAAAATTGTATAAAAAAACTTTCGAGATTAAATTAATTTGCTTTTAAAAAATTACTTCTCAATTAATTTTTCAATAAAATAAAGTATTGAAACTTGTACATTATTGAAAACGTGTAGGTAAATTGTGAACTGTAAATTCTAAAGAAAACTTAATGAAACATTAATGAATGATTCAACTAATTGCTTCCAAAATAAGCTTATTTTTAAATTAAATTATAATTATTTCCATTTCTATTTACGTATTAATACCATTATATTATCTAAATATAAGTATTATTTTGATCGAAATATAAGAGATTTTGTTGCAAATAATTCAAAATATTCTGGAAAATACATATTTATATATAATGAGAAAGAAATAATATAGACTAATTACATTTTAAATAATTGCTACTTTTTAATTTGATTAAATATGTATTAGATTAGATTTTTATTACTTTCTCATTTAAGAAATAACAATTAGTAAATGATTTTATATAATTACCATACGAAACCGCAGCATCCACAACGAAACAGGTGCAAACACTAAGAAACAATGCTTATTTGGACACGAAACGCGGTTTGTGCGACGCGATGCATCAGCGATGGCTGCGCGCGCTATACTAATTCTTATTGGGCACGAAATTGCTTTTGTTATTAACAAAACACGAATGCTCGCATCGGGGCGTATCGGAGTGACGAATCACAGCTGCAGCTGCGAGCAATAAACAAATGAAGCAACTGATTTGCTTCGCGATATTTTACACCTGCGTAACGATGAGTCATTTGCAGGTGCACGAAAACTAAAGAATTAATAACAAAAGCATACATTTATTATATAAAAACAGGTACTAACTAGTAGATGCGCCGGGTAAATTTATTTATAAAGTTAGAAATTACCGTATTTTTAATTTATCAAATTATATAATGTAGATGTAAAATATATTTATATTATACACCGTATTCTATCAGCCCTTTCTCATTTTAGTTAATTAATTGCAATTGGTTTTCATTAAGTTTTAATTGAAACAAAAGTAAACTATTGCAGCTGCAAAGATTAGAACGTTTTCTAATTGAAATATTGCAAAAAAAACTTAATTATTATTGTCTTTCATAACAAGTAATGAAATTTTATCCATAATTTTAATAAAAACTATGTATGTAAGAGTATAAGGTTAACGACCTATTTTCGATTGAATTTAGTTAATTTTAAACCATGAAAATTGATGATGAAATTCTACAATTGAATGAAGAAAAGAACGAATCATACCAATACTTTGGATATGAGTTATGTTATGTAGGTGAATGAGGTTAATGACCAGTAACGATGTATTGATACGTGTGTTAATTCGTGTAATTTACAGGCAAAGTCGGTTTGTGCAAGTTTCGGAATGGTGGCGTAAACATGAACCTGTTCCCTCCCCCAAATGGTCGACATATCCAACCCCGATTTTGATGAATTTGATTTAATGCCGGTGCATGATTCACTCAGACTAATTACCAAAGTTCCTGAAGCCAAAACTAATTGTATCAGACCAGTCCCGCGAAACTCTCAACAAGTTCGTTCGTACTCTCTCAAAACCACCTCCACCCCCTTCCCAAACCATTTCATCCCCTAAAATCATATTAAAAAAATACACTCTCACTTTTGTTCCTTTATTCTTCGCTCTTTTCACTTTCCTCTTTTTTTTTCTTTTCGCTGTTGTTTGTTGTAATTTTATTCATTAGATGAGTTTCCGCGTCGCAACGTAAAGTCTGACAAAGAGAAACATGAGATCAATAAGTTTAAGGAATGAAACTTCAGCATGTAACGAGCTCTAATAAATGCAGCGAACATCGAACTTTATTCAGTATTCAACAATTTTAAGCTCAATTAGGTTTACCGACGTTTTACACGCCAAAGACAATAACGTTTCTCACCTTTCATTTCTGCATCCCTCCAATTAATGCCGAAAACCTCCAATCCAAATTCACTTCATAATGACGTTTGTTTACTACCGATTCAAACCAAAACCCATTCAGTTTTACGTAAACTGTCAATTTTGACATTTCAACTATTTCTTAGAGGTGTCTTGATTAGTATTTTTATCTTAAAAATTCTGCATTTGACAACTTTGAGATTTAAACAAATCGGTTTATGTAAAATTAAAAAAATATTGCTTTTCCTATTCAAATGCACTACATTAGAATAATTTGACAAATTTGACATTTCCATCTATTGTTTATATAAGAAGTGTCTTGATCAATATTTATATTTAAAAATTTTAGTTAAGTTAAAAAAATACTCTTTTTTTCATATTCAATTTCACTGTTTTTAACTTGTTAAGTTAAGTTTGTTAACAAAAATATGTAATCAAATATGAATGTAATTCAATAAGACCACAAAAATAACTTGTTGTTCACGCTCGAAACTAACTTGAAACTATTGCATAATCACGAAGGACAATATAAGACTATGAATTGTTTAATATAAACTTGCCTGTTGTATTGTCAACAGGCGTATAAACGCGTCCAGCATACAACACAGAAAACACACCCTAATGAACTTTCTGCATATTAATGCCACAATTTTACTTAACACCTGTCGTAATGCTTCCTTTTCCATTAGTTTCCAGGTCTCGCCGAACACGTAACCAGAGCCGATTCCAAAGGACGGGCAACAGCGTGAGTAACTCGAACCATTTGAATGCAGTCTCCTGTGATTCCTATTTACTTTTTTTTTTTTTGAACATTCGACATGCAATTTATAGTCTCTCCTCTCTCTCTCTTTATTTTAAACTTTTTTCGCAATTGTTGCGGAGGTGTAGGGGATGGGTTTGAGGTGGATCGGTAGTTGCCATCAATAAATAATGTGTGTTCCGATGTGCAGTTAATTTGCAAGCGGGGGAGGTCGCACAAGTGGCACGACCGCAGTAAATCAGGCCTGACCATGCATTATCGACGCAATCTGTGCAATTGCAGTTGCATTAACTCAGGCCTCGGCGATGGGGAAAACACTCGGATGGAGGAGTCCTTTTCGGACTCTCTCACTCTCTCTCGATTTGGGGGGATGTTGGAGGCTGTAGCAGCAGCGGTGGCGGTTTTGGGGGGTTTGCGCTTTCGTAATTATCGATGACCGCAACGTGAAATATTCCGCAAATGAGCCACCTATATCAAAAAAAATACGCGCTCATCCCAAAGCTCGTTAAGATAAAACAGTTTTATCGAGAGTTCTGGCCATTTTCAAAACCTACTATTGTGAAATACAACATTTATTCAAATTTTAAATAAGCTTCTACTTTCTCACTCTGGTCTTTCTTAACAAATCCTTCTGAGTAAACAATTAATTAATTTCTGAAACATATAAGAGATTTACAAAAAAAAATGTACACAAAAGTGTTTTCTTTTTCTTTGGGTTGAAGGTGGAAACGGTTTTAATTTGAAGAAGTTTTTTAGGGGTTGAAGGGAAGGTGCATTAATTTTATTTGTATAAAACTCATTGAGTGCGCGCCGCGGAGCTCTTTCCCTTTGAGATGGAAATTAGACTGTCGAAAGGCTGTTCAATTAAAACTGATTCAAGTGAAAAACCGATTGAACTTTGTCCACGTCTTACGTCAAAGCATACTCTTCGTAATTGGGTCGCGAAATAACATCTGTCACATTGTATCAAAGCCCTGGGTAGCGTCACAAAAAGGTTGAGAAACACTGGTCTATCAAGATATTGGTCTGACGCAATTCGATCAGAATATCAATCGCAAACCAAATTGATGTTATTTGCGTTAAAACAATTTAGATACAATAGAATGATGATTGATATTGATGATATATTGATGGAAAATATTGTTAAGTCACGTGTTGTTATCGAATCTAGGGATTGTGTGTGTGTGTGTGTATGCACAACATGTGCACGTACATCAATCTATCTCGTGCGCACTCCGTTTTGATTGCAATTAAATGTAATACATTCAGCGATTCGATATCACAAACGACTCACTACACCCCTCCGACATGACAGAAACTCGTGCTGTTTGCATTTAGAACATACACATATACACACACAAATTTATATATATATATGGAAATACAGGGAACGTAAGCATATGCCGCTTTACGAAACAAAACAACAACGACAAACACAATGTTGACACTTGACATTTAATCACATTTTAAATGAGTTTCCTCCCTCGCACACTCTCACTCTTATCTTGACTAAACAGAAGCAATTTAGCAAAGGAAAGTTCTGTAGTAATACGTAAAGAAAGATTCATTCATGCGAAACTGTTGTAGTTTCTTCCAAAGCAATTAAATTAAATATTTCCAAAATGATTCAATTAAATGAAATTTTAAAATTTTGCTTTCCTTCAAATAAAAAAAACTTACATAATTTCAATATAATTCAACGAAATATTTGTAATATCACCACAAATTTAATTTACTTTGAATATGTATATGATTTCAATACTTGTAATAAAACTTACATAATTACAAAATAAGCTAACAAAATATAATTGATAAAAGAATAAAAATAATCGTATTTTCGTATAAGTAACAGTTATGTGGCAAGTGATGATATATGATGAAGGAGTGAGCTTTTAATTGAATTTCAGTTCAAGATTTATCATCTTGGAGTATCATTAGGTTTTCTCGGAGAGCTTACGAGAAGGTACTAAATACTGTGCGCTGAATCTCTCTTTTAGCCTTTTAATAAAAATGTCAATTAAGCACACAAAGATATAGATATATATATGAGGCACGGTTCGAGGAACATAAGGAAGACGGAGTTCCATAAGTTCAAGAGGGATGGAAGGAGAAATATGAGGCTGCGGTAATAAACCAGCACTCGAAAGTTCGCACGTAACAATGGGTAAAGCAGTTAAGCCGAAGCGCTTCCTATTTTTTAATGTTATCCGGATGGAATTACGGAAGTGCATCATTCTTGTGGTTGATGATAGGAGAAGATGAGTAGAGGAGAGGAGAGAAGAGAGCGCGTCTTGTGCTGAAGGAATGGATGGATGGACGGACAAAGCGCGGCGACAGTGCGAAGTTAATAATGCGCGCCTCGGCTCCTCCAGAATTGATTATGTCATCCTGTGTAGGAGAAGAAGAAGAGGAGGAATAAGAGGGAGAGTGATGATGGGGAAGAAACGAGCAAGACTCGTTTATCGAACGCTTCTTTTTTCCTCTCTCGCTTCTTATTTTTGTAACGCGTGAATAAACACACCATTTCACCTTGCACACGCTCGATTCCATGCCGAATATTTTATTCATAATGCCCAAAATTAGATGGTTTTTTTTTTGGGGGGGTGGTGGGCGTCTGTGCCTGTACGTGTATATACGAAAGTCTATGTAAGTGTTCGAATAAGAATGTGACAGAATTCCGAAAGATTTAATCTGGAAATTCCTCAGACGAACGCTTTTACATAATTTAGTGCTTAATTGATTCGAGGGTGGAAAAAAGGAACATCGAGTGTCTGATATTTTATTCATGGACCGAATTAATTTGAAAATTGCCTCGTTAAAAAGCACAACCGCACTAACATAATAAACGCGGCATTCTCCGTCCGTCCGTCCGTTAAACAGATTCGAAAACTTCACAGAAACCCAATTCCATTTTATATATTACTAGAACATCATTATTTTTAGTACTATTACTGAAAATAATGTTATTTTCTTTTACGTTTAAAGTTTGTACAAATATTTATTAGATTTCATTTACACTCAGTTACATGGTTCATATTTTATGCTTCAGGTCAGGAAAAACTTTCAGCAACAATACAACCACATAAAACAAAAACATCACCTTATTAAACATATTTATATATAAGTTTTGCTATTTGTATTAATATTAGTGTAAACTTTTAATATTAAATCATTTCTCTACTTCCATGTAGTGGATTGAAGTAGTAGGCGCATCCACCGAAACAATTTGTTTTTTAATAACAATTTACTTCCAGTTAACTAGATTACTTTATTATTAAAATTTATTTAGTGTCCATAATTATAGAATTTGCGTTATGAAACATTTTAGGATATTACGAAGTTCGATTATATATACTTAATATAGGAAGTATCGTATTCGATGGTTGTTTGTTTGCGAGATGGAAACGCAATTCCGGTGATTTTATCAAGTATATATGCATTCTGTAACACAGATGTGTGTGCATGGTGAACTGGTGTCGGATATCGAAGGGTTCGGAAGGGCTCGGGGAGGCGGTGGTGTTCTGCAAAGGATGGCGGCTGATCGATTCGGTATTCGCCTCATTCGTCATATATAGTACCAATAATTAGCATATCAAAGCGTCTCATTGCAAAAGCCATTGAATTATACCGGGAATAATTGAGCCGGCGGCCCGATAAATTGACCTCTTGTCTGTGACGCATACAGTGAGTGTATGCGTTCTGGACGCACTCATGCAGACAGACACAAGTAAATGTCTAGATGGCGGCGATGGTGATTCAGTATTTCGGGCTTTGCACTGAGATAAGATCGCGATGCTGCAGGCGGGGATTGTTTGCGAAGAAACACAACGCCGATGTGTGCTTTGTACTTTTAATCGTCCAAATATAAATTTCCTTTATTATCCTTCGCCGCACAGACGAAAACACATAAATCACCAATAATTGACTTTCACCTGAAATCATATTCCTGCCTTCTGCCTTTATCAGTCTACTTCATTTTTCATTAAACCACAAGTTACTACCTAAAACGCAATATTTTTATTGGCACTTCTATCAGACGAAATATCTAAGCCATCTATTATATTTAACTTGCAGTTAATAGCCTTTGTTTATCTTAACAGTTAAATGACAATGACAACAAATTGACGGATACAAGTGCAGACTTAAATAACAATATAATAAGACATAAACTTGTTTCTTTCTTCCTTACATCTTTATCAATTTACTTCATTTTTTCAATTACAAATCACATATTTTCAATAGTTAATCTGTGTATTTAACAAGTAGTTCGTAATTTAAAGCTGTCAATTAATGTCCTGTCATTTGAATGTCACATTGACAGTGACACTAAACTATCTAACTAAACGTCACTATATTAAATGCAATAGCAATTTATGTTACTAATCTAATAATGTAATTATATAACAATTCAGGCATAATGTAGATTCACAATAAAAACGGAGGAGATAACTATTTTAACAAATCTTATTATTATTGCGCTGCAGGTTTACTTCGAGGAAGCAACACGCGCTTCATTAGAAACTTTCCGAAGACTCTCTTCTCCGTCTGTTTGTCTTATGGGAATTTTGAGTAATCCTGAACTTCAATTAAACTTGTATAATGCAACGCGTATAGCGTGTGTGTGGTTGTGCGAGAGATCCGCCGAAATTCAGCAAGTCAAATTTAAACAGTGAACGTAGAGTACACACGACGAGTGAAAGCGAACTGCGGTGTACAAAATATACACGAGTCGCGCTGAAATTAAAGTGTCAAACTGACAATTCCTGTTGCATATTCTTACATGTCTTGAATATTCAATTTTGACACATTTTGATAATTTATAAAATTTAATTTGTTTTTCTTTTAATTAACAACAATCTTTCTATCAGTATTATCGAAAATATTTAAATTATTAATTTTGAATATTTTGAAACTTTAACTCTCAATTTATAACTTTAATAATTTAATGAATTTAGTTTTATTATACACATAGTTTTGAAAACTATTTAATACTGTAATTATGCAATCAAGTACATAGCTTTGATGATTCAGATCAATGTTGATATGTGTTTTAGCATTTGCGGCGATCGGTCCGACGCCGCAGTGTAATTAGTTTCTGTTTTCTGGCGCGGCCCAAGTTTCCGAAAATCCCTTTGACAACTTTGACAAGTGTCCGTTGACGTTCGCCTTGAGTGACGTGCGGTCAATCTGGAAAGTTAATGGGAGCCCCCGTGGTTCTCGACTCGGCTCGGCTCTCGACTAGAGATGGAACCGCAAACAACCCTCCACGACCCCATCTCTTCAACGCGCAAACACTAACCGCGTTACTCGTTATTAAGCTAATTAAGGTAATTATATCCATCCGCTTTCAAACCGAACCACTTGCACCACCTAGATTATCACCACCATCCGATGGACCCGAACCCTCTCTCAACATGCTTGATTGACTGTTTGAACAAGAACGTACATTGCTATGCACATATTCTCGCACGTTTCAAGAGGATTCACCGATACAGATCAATACACCATTACTAATACGCAATTTGGCAAGTATTGCGTATTAGTAATGATGATGGTGTATTAAGTTGTTTTTTTTAAGTATCAATTATTACTAGTAACTAAGGATTATGTGACAGTTGTTATGGTTTATGGAATTGTCATAAATGACATTTCAAATTATACGCTTCCCTTCGTTTTTTTTTGACTATTTGATGCGTTTTAAAAGGAGAGAGTATATCGGTTACACGACCTGCATAATTAAGAAACGGAACGAAGGATTAGGTAGGGTAATTTGTGGGGCGAAAGGTGAGGCAAATCCGAATGGGGTTTCCGGTTTTTGCTCAGGGGTCTTCGAGCCTGCTTATCTAGCGGTTGCAAACTACAAATTCCATTTTATTACATCCTACCCATCCTACCCCTCGCATACCGACGTATTAGGGTTAATCGAGGTTTACTTCGACCCATCAGCCCTGATTTATTAGTTTCACCTAATCTAATCAGGATTTCCACTACTGTTGGATAAACGAGGGATTCCCGTACAGAATTCCATTAAAAAGGGAAAAGAAAACCGGAAACAAAACACTAAATAATGATTCTAGATTTATTAGTTATAGGTTTGGAACAAAAAGAAAAATAATGTGAAATTAATGTTGCCTAAACATTTAAATTGAAACAAATTTAATTAAATGAATTAAGATGAAAAATTAATATAGGAGAAAATACTTCCGGGTGGAATGATTCTATACTCAAGAGTATTTAAAGTTGCATAATTATATGATAATAAAATCAATTTGACAGATAGAACTGCGAATTGTTGCAGTGTATGAAAAAATGTTTCATATCAGAAATGTCAGAAAAGTTCATTTATATCGATACATTTTTCGGCTCGCTGAAAAGTTTCTTTTTTGTGTGTGTGTATATAAGTAATTATTTGTCTGCGGAGAAACTTTGTGCCCGGTATTAAAACTGAATTAAGATGAAAACTGAACATACAAGAAAATATTTTCGGGAAGTTCGGCATCTAATGAATAAGCAATTCGAAGTTATCGAGGTTATACGAGAATTGGCATGAGCCGAAAGAAGTGAAATAAACTTAAAAAAAAATAAGGGAAAATAGACTGATGGGAAAAGAGAAAAGGCGTAACGTGGAGAGAAGAAGAAGTTGGAAAAGTTGGAGTCACCTCCAATAAAAGTTGTCCTTTATAATTTTCCCCTTAACTGTCCGCCTACCATAATTTTCCCTTTCAAACTTCCCTTGACGGACAACCGAGGTCCATTCTTTCACCTCCGTTAGTTCCCCCCTTTCATTTCCTCTTTCTCTCTCTCTATCTCTATGTGTTCTTCTCTTCATCTTCGTTTCGCTTTTTCATATGGCCTCCTTTTAAAATGTTCTCCAGTCGTTTTATTCTTTTTTGCTCCTTCTATTTCTTTTTTCTCTTTATTTTCAGCAAATTCGATCATGTTTGTTTGTGCCCTCCCCTGCGGACGCGGAGTGATGTGAATCGGCAATGTAGGCAGCAGAACCCGTCGCCTCCGCCAAATTCGCCTTCGCCGCAGCAGCAGCAGCAGCAGGAGCAGTCGATGCGCCGGACCAGAACGACACGGTTACAGTTACAGGAAACGTCTGCAGCAGTTCCATCTCATCTGAGTTTCAGGCTCTGATTGTCCAAACGCAATTCTTGTATGTTTGTATCGAGAACTGTGTATGGACATCACCGCTTGGGATCGATTCCTCCTTTAAACATCAACATCAGATTAACGTGACCCTTCAAGCATGAAACACGCACTATCTTAGTTACATACACTACTAACTTTATCTATTATCTTATAAGTGTTGTTAACTTGGGTTTTGTTAATACAAGTTTTTAGGTAATTCTTTTAGTTATTTCACACTTTTCTTAGATAATTTATATACATTTACAATAAATATAATTAATAATGTTTAATCCTTCTATTGTTTTCTATGTTGTTACTTAATTAAATTTATCAAAAAGTTAATCAAGTATGAAAAATAAAATGTAATTTTTAACTTTTAAATTTTTCATGTATTTTTTTTTGTAAATTATGAAATTTTATATGAAAATGTAATAAATGTATATTGAAACTAAATCAGTAGATAATGATGTTAAGATTTGTTAATTTTTGTTAAATTGAAATAATTTTCTCTATTTCTTTCCAATTTTCGTGCAAGTTCTTATAAACTATGTATACAAAAATAATATATATTCTTATTGAATTATGTGTATTTTATTGTTATCACATCAAAAATTAAAGCTGAAACTATATTAAAAAAAACATTATCATTATTATTGTAAAATTTGGTTTAAAAAGATATTGAAAATAAAATATGTAAAAGGAAATATATACTCTTATAGAATTTGGTGTTTTTTTTTAAACCATAATTATCACATTCCTAATTAATTATGCTAATTAATGTTAAAATTAATACAAATAAAAAAAAAAGAGTAAAACACATGTTAATTTCAAATATATTTTTACAAAATTCACAATTCAAATGAAAGTCAATGGTTTATGACAGTGTTTTTGTCACTCGATTTGTACTTTGCGACCCTAATTGGCGTATTTTCACGCTTTGACGCAAGGATGACAGCTGTCATTTCACCACCTAACATGCACAGAAACTCAATTTTTAAAAGCATTTCACCAGATACTCGCTTTGACATAAAGGTGACAGCTGTCATTTCACCACCCAACATGCACAGTAACCCAATTGCTAAGAGTATATCACCAGTTACTCGTTTTGACACAAAGGTGACAACTGTCATTTTGCAATCGTTTAAATAAATTACACAATTTTGAGTTTGAGAAACGCTGATCTATAATAATGTTTAAGCTTAGTATCTAAATATTGTTAAATTCGCTTGTAACAAATTCAAACATAAAGTTTGAATTTTGTGTTTTTTTTTTGGTATTTAATTAAACTTTAAAGCTAAATCAAATGTCATTTATATGGAGTACGGCGTTACATAAATGCAATCAAATGTGTAAAACGTGCGGCAGAATGAACGCAACAAAAACAACAAAAAAACAAAGGTAATTTTAACGAAGAGGGTGACGTCGTAAAAATTTATGAGCAGGTAACTGGAGCGGTTTCGATAATTTATCGACGTAATTTCAGCGAGTGAGAGAGAAAAATTGCCATCGGCTCGTAACGCCCGATATGTACACAATATAAATTTTGAAAATATGGAGAAATAATAAATAAAAAACGCGAAACGAAAGAAAAAAATAATAAACGAGATTGGAAATAAAATAATATGGAGTACGTACGTACACACGTACACAAACCGGGCAATATTAACATTTATATTGTGTGGTTATTTCATCATACGGTTTGTTTTATATTTTTCGGTCGTTCACATAAAGCCGTGTTCGTAACGACAATTTTTTTGTTTTCGTTTTGTTTTGTTTTTTTCACATTTCCATACTCATTCTCGTTCATAATACCGATGGATATGTGAAATGTTATTATTTTTAGTGTAATATCATCAAACGGATTCGAAATAAACGCGTCTGCAGTTAATGTATCTGAGTAAACAGTGAACCTCTCTCTCGCTAAGTGCTTTTGATTTTCGTTTTGCAAATGAAAATTTGCACAAAAACAAACGAATATTTTAAAACAAATGAAAATGAAACGAAAATGAAACAAAATCGAAAGTGAAAACAAACAAAAAAATGTGAAATTGAAATTATGAAATGAATATTGAAAGAATAACTAATATTAAAACAAAAGAATGAAAATTAAAACAAATGTCGAAAATCGAAACAAAAATTATAGCAAATAACAAAAGTGAAAACAAAGATATGAAAATTGAAACAAAAACTAATACTGAAACAAAGGAATAAAAATGGAAACGAAGAACCGAAAGTTAATACAAAGAAATGAAAATGAAACAAAAAAATAGGAAATTGAAAATGAATTTAAAACTATAAAAATTGAAATTAAGAAATGAACATTGATAGAATAACTAATATTAAAACAAAGGAATGAACATTAAAACAAATGTCGAAAATCGAAACAAAAACAAGAATTATAGCAAATAACAAAAGTGAAAACAAAAATATGACAATTGAAACAAAAACTAAAACGAAAGTTAATACAAACAAATGAAAATGAAACGAAAAAAACAAAAACGAAAGTGAAAACAAAAATATGAAAATTGAAACAAATACCGAAAATAAAATAAACAAAGAAAACAAAGATTTGAAAATTGAAACAAAAACTAATACTGAAACAAAGGAATAAAAATGGAAACGAAGAAACGAATGCTAATATAAACAAATGAAAATAAGAACAAGAAACGAAAATTTCAAATATAATTACAAAAAAATGAAAACAAAACAATAACTAATATTGAAACAAAAGAATGAAAGTGAAAACTAATAAAACTGAAACAAAAACGAATATTAACGAAAAAAATTAATAATTTCAAATAATGAAAATTAATACAAATTAAACATTTTTATTGGCTCCAATTATGTCTAATGGATTATGGACCGGAAAAAAAAACAAAAAGAATATTAAACAAAAAAATAAAAATGAATTGAAACAAGAGAGAGAGAGATAAAAAAAAGGAGAGAGAGAATGGGGTTGTATAACAAGGGATATCGATTTTAATTGGATGGCCGGTCCAATGTTGAGGAAGTTTAATCCGATTACGCGAAAAAGGTTTGTTAAAATGAAAGAACGAACTCGCCGCCACTCGGCAACAATTGAGCACGAGCAGGGGATGGATGAAAAAATAAATAAATAGAATATAACAGGGTGTGTGTGTGTACATGTTTGCATGTAACACAATACGCAATTCGGTGCAGGAGAGTAAAGTCATGGACGTGGACATTGCAGCTGATGAATGTTAATCGATATTTACCTGATGAAATGTGCGTTCCATGTTCGCAAAAAAAAACGAATACAAAAAAAATGTACATTTTTGTATTCGTAATTCAATCCAATCAATACTAATTTGAATTAACTCAATTTTCACTCGACTTTTCACAATTCAATAACGATTTTTATATATTCATCTTCCTAAGGATAATAATGTCAAAATTTTATTATGATTTGACAAGTGACGTTGTCAAAAAGTGACGTTGTCATGTCAGTGAAATGTACTTAAAACAATATTAATGACAGTTAATAGAAGCAAACTGTATAGCTGTAGTTGAATGTGTATAAGTATTAGAAGGTAAATGTTTGCGTAGAAGGAATTAAGGGAGCGGTATCATGAGGATAAATCAATGGCTAAATACAATATTTGTGTTATTATGGAAATATGTTGGGGGGGTATATGTAACAATAATTAATAAACTGACTGATACAAGGGCTGAGAAGATGAGTGCGCTACGGGTGGGACGGAGAAGGAAGATGAGGAGTATGAGGAGAAGGGTTCTGATCCGTGCGCATTTCACTTGCAAATGAGCAAACCCCCCCCGAAGACAAAGGGGTGCAGGTTGCCGGAACCGGAAAATTTCAATTGCAAAACAGGCTAAAGGTGGAGAAGGAGGAGAAGGATGAAGGGGTTGAGAGAAGGATGAGAGGGAGAGAGAGAGAGAGAGACGAACGATGGATTCCCCAGGACTAAGGACATCTTGTCGTCTCTGCGCCGCAAGAAGCCAGGTCTCCGCAAATCGAGTTAACCCAACGCAAAGTCTATAACATTCCTCTTCTTCGGCTCGCAGGAAAGAGTGGAAGTTGGGGGAAATAGAGTAAAAGACGAAATATCCTTTCCGCGTGTGTATATGTATAAAGTCCTTTTGACTTCCTCCTTTTCGTGATAACACTCACTCGCCGTCACGCTCCGCTATTATCTCACCAACAGCACGCATCTTTTTACATCCTTTTGCTACTTTTCCTTCTTCTTTTCATATATTTGGACAGAAAGAGAGGAAGAACACTACTGAAGTAGATACTTCGAAATCAATACAATACAAAGGCTTTTATGTACAGTAAATTTAGTTATAGACCACACATTATTTGCTCTTTGTCCATTTTGGATATAGTAATGTCACATCAAAAGAAATGTAATTTATTTATATAAATAATTTACAAAAACAAAATTTTGTCATAAACTGATTCATTTTATAGAAAAATTGGAAATTCGTTTAAAAAAAAATACTTTTTTGGTTTACTTGTAAACTTATGATAGGTTGGTATATGATTTTTCACTAAGAAAATATTACTAATTTACATCGTTTCCATCTTTTTTTGTTATAATACCAACTTAAAATGGAAAATTACCTGAATTTAAAACTGAAATTTAAAGGTTTTGGTGGCTTATGTAAATAATTAAATTAATTGTAAAGTTGGTATTTAACTTTCCACTAAGTGAATGTTACAAATTATTTGTTACGTCAAATACAAGTTTTATTATCATCAAAGGCACAAAAACACAAATATATTTCATTATTAGGTAAATCGGTGAGTACTTAATTATTTTATTTAATATTATATTGTATAATAATTGCATTTAATCAATTGAATTGTGTAAAAAAGTGTAAAAAAAAAAACTAAAATTTTGTAACCTTAATTTCTATTTGAGAATATTGTAATACTATACTTATACAACCAAACATACTTTAAATTTATAATCCTTATAATTGCAATATATATTTTAGAGGGAGGTAGCAGGCGGAAGAAAAAAAAAAAAAAAAATTGCAATATAGTAGCTATGGTCGGTTATGTCACGAAAATCTGATAAAAAAGGACGTTGGTTCGATTCCAAAAAAAAACAACAAAAAT